GAGGAAGCACACACATATATATATATATATATATATATTTTGCAATCATCTCAGAGAACTTCTACCTTGAATGAAAGCACATACAAACCCTACATGATTGTGATTTTTTTTTTTTTAGCATCACAAACTCCCTGTTCATTTAGCCTAGGAAGGCTGATTTTAGAACAGCTTTTTGCCAGTCACAATAGTAGGATGGGTTGGAAAGGGCCACCACAAAAAGGAATATGAACACAGAGCTGATAACCAGTACCACATCTAATATACTTGCAAGTGTACTTGAAGAAATAGCTCTGAAGAACAGACTGTCTCAAAAGTTTCCATTTGTAAAATCCCTACACTTCAGGGTGGGAGCTCATTATTATTGGGTCTCAAGGAGCTAATTATGATACAAATTAAGAAAAATAATTAACAACTGACAAAGGAAAGTTTTCAACAAAACATGCTTTACAAACATGCTTTAGAAACATCTTTTATAATCAAACTGATTACCTTTGTAAGCAAGATCTTTTATACATACAGGTAATTACCTGTAACTCCCTTTAAAAACTACACATGGTGCAAACACTCCCCAAAAGAATAAACAGAAAATGGAAATTTTAATGAAGGAGTGATTGAAAAATGAACAGAAACAAGAAAACTGCAATGGGATAACACTTGTAATGCACACTCCAGTAGACTATGTTTTGGTAAATACACTAGTGAATGCACAGTATCATAAACTACCTTTCTGTGACACATTCTGGCAAGGAAAAGGCACTACTTCATTATACTGTAAGACCAGCTGTACCCCAAATCCTTGGAACTCATAAGCAAGGTTTTAGAGAAGAGTATGAGGGAGTGGCAGATGCATCCTTTGGATTTACTTCATCTCCTTCCCCTCCTGTCAAAATCTTCTTTCATATTTTCACAACTGCCATTTAGTTATGTATTGCTTTGTAATGAGTAACCTAATAATCTCACATGTTCTACTGTTCACTAATGTGAATTCAATTTCTGAAGAAAGAAAAAAAATCAGACAAGGAACATTTTTGCTTTTAGATTACACTAAAAGAGAACCATTCTTTGCCAAGTATGAAATTACAGCCTACCACCTGGAGTTTCAGATCCTTTCTGTGTTCACAGAAAGAGCATATTCATACAGAAAGACACAAAAGCTAAGCTATTATAAACATAAGTTTTAATAAGTCATTTAGCATTGCTCCCCATACCACCTGTAGTAGCCATAAAGATTCCCAACTTATTTTCTAAGTAATTTTACACCGTAGAACTGTTTAGTTTATTGGAAAATGCAATGAATTGGTATCAGGCAAAAACCCCATAAGGACTAAAAGCATAGTCCATGTTTATATACTTTCCCCCTTTAACAAACTAACTAAACAATATTAGGAGTCATCCAGTGATCCTATGTCTTTTCACATTGTCTTTTAAAGTTTTCTTGTAACTGCAGATTTTTCAGAGCTTTCTGGTCATGGATCTCTAATTATTTGATTTCCTAATCTTATAAACTATCGGAAGAAATTTATGTTAATACAACAACCACAGATTCAGTTCTTTGGATATGAAAGTCAGACCAGGCAAGGATCACCACATTTTGAACATAACTCCATAGCTTTCAATTGCACATACATTCAAAAGGGTACTTTCAAATTGTGTATATTCATATAAAATACTACAGAACTGGGGACACAACAGAAAGCCTATGAAAAGATGACACCCGAATAAAAATATCAGTAGTTCTCCTATTTGTAGCATTATTTTAGATTAATTACAACATTAAAGATATGCAATAGACTA